AAGCGTTGTGCAGTTGTGAGGATGTAATATTAAAAAAAAAAATTATAAAAGAAATACGATCAAACAAACATTTTTTTGGATCGAACAAACGAAAACTAATTGAGATTGATTTAAAAAAACATCAAAAATGAAGATACCTTAATATCAAAGAGCTAGGTTAAGTTCAAATTTTAAAAAAATATTAAAAAAAACAGTCATCGAACAAACGCCAAATTTAATCGAACAATCACGAACAAACGACGAACAAACGAACAAACAAATCTGATGTGTCCAACACATGACTTTCCTATCTAGTTATTATAGGATTTTTCCGGTTATTTTGTACAACCTATTGCAGCATCTCTATAAATGTTTAGAGGATAAACTAAATATATACATTGGCCACATACATCTACCTCAAAACATTTTTCTATAGATATTCATTGAAAACGAAAATACTGAAAAATTTAAATTTACTGCTTTTCCATTACGGTCCATTTTAGAAAAATCATGTATAAACAAAAATTATAGAGATCGATATCGCAAACAACTTTTAGTTCAGCAATTTTCATAAAAATCAGAATTTTGCACATTTTGTCAAATTTCTCGAATACGGACCATTTCAGGAAATTTTGACATAAAAGAAAAATTATAGATAATAATATTAGAAGTAACTTTTGTTTGAACAATTTTCGTCTCCAAACAAAAATAACAGATATATTCCATAAAATATAAAAATGACCATCCATAAAGTACCCCCCAGATGTTCCGACTCTGCCCAAAATCTAGTTCAGTTCATTAGACGCTGGAATAAAGCTTAAGTTTAAAATTTGGTATTTTTCTGTGTATCGGTTTATGAGTTATGCGACACACACACACACACACACACACACACACACACACACACACACACACACACACACACACACACACACACACACACACACACACACACACACACACACACACACACACACACACACACACACACACACACACACACACACACACACACACACACACACACACACACACACACACACACACACACACACACACACACACACACACACACACACACACACACACACACACACACACACACACACACACACACACACACACACACACACACACACACACACACACACACACACACACACACACACACACACACACACACACACACACACACACACACACACACACACACACACACACACACACACACACACACACACACACACACACACACACACACACACACACACACACACACACACACACACACACACACACACACACACACACACACACACACACACACACACACACACACACACACACACACACACACACACACACACACACACACACACACACACACACACACACACACACACACACACACACACACACACACACACACACACACACACACACACACACACACACACACACACACACACACACACACACACACACACACACACACACACACACACACACACACACACACACACACACACACACACACACACACACACACACACACACACACACACACACACACACACACACACACACACACACACACACACACACACACACACACACACACACACACACACACACACACACACACACACACACACACACACACACACACACACACACACACACACACACACACACACACACACACACACACACACACACACACACACACACACACACACACACACACACACACACACACACACACACACACACACACACACACACACACACACACACACACACACACACACACACACACACACACACACACACACACACACACACACACACACACACACACACACACACACACACACACACACACACACACACACACACACACACACACACACACACACACACACACACACACACACACACACACACACACACACACACACACACACACACACACACACACACACACACACACACACACACACACACACACACACACACACACACACACACACACACACACACACACACACACACACACACACACACACACACACACACACACACACACACACACACACACACACACACACACACACACACACACACACACACACACACACACACACACACACACACACACACACACACACACACACACACACACACACACACACACACACACACACACACACACACACACACACACACACACACACACACACACACACACACACACACACACACACACACACACACACACACACACACACACACACACACACACACACACACACACACACACACACACACACACACACACACACACACACACACACACACACACACACACACACACACACACACACACACACACACACACACACACACACACACATAGACAGACACAGAGACATCATCGCGAAAATAGTCAAAACGGACCTCAAAACATAAAAATCCGTCGAAAACTCGAGGTCGAAAAAAATCATGATTCCTATACTTTCCTTATATTCCCTTATACAGATATACTTAAGGGCGTGCATTGGAACAGAGAAGTCTGAACAAGTCCTCCCAGAGAGAGACAAAATAAAGTTATCCGAGAGGTGCTGCCTCTAGTTAGCAACTAAGTAACAAATATACGTACTGCATTTTCGCATCTGCGAATAAAAATGTATTCTTCTAAACTCACAGGTACGGGCTTTTGTATGGTATAGATTAAAATTTTTTTGACTTCGCCTCCCATTTCGGTGTCACAAGCTGAATTTTTCAGGGATGAAAGTACATGATAAGCTTACCCTTATTCCGGAGGTAATATAAAATTAGACAGTGCAAAAGGGCACTATCATAAAAAATCGAGTTATTGATACCACCATATAGAAAAAAAATGCTTATTTTTTTGTTCTAATGCACAATTAGGTCTTTGCAGGAAGTATTTTTTTATAATTATTTAAAAAAAATCATAATAATATCCGTCCCTTCCCCTACACAAGTCGTTCAGTCGACTTCAGGGGTTGAAATTCACTCGTAAGGGGGTGAATTAGGGAGAGTATTATTATTATTATTATTACTTACCATACAATATATCTAAATAAAAGAAAACCAGTTTTCATAAAATCATTTATTTAAATCATTAATTACAGAAATTTTATAAAAATGAATGTACTCCCTTAAAGCATGGTTTAACAAATTATTTGGAAGTATATCACACATTGAGCATAAAATTTGCAATGGGTAATCACGTGTTTTACAAAAATCAATAATATTATTGTAATATAAGCAGAAATTAAGTTCTTCTAATGCAGCCACTCTATTGGATACCAATTGTATGTTAATTTCAAGAATTTCCTGCACTTTCTCTTTACACAAATAGTATTCAACGCCATGTTTCTTCACAACCAAGAATTTGATATCGTCATAAATCAGTTGCGTAATCATACAATAATCGCCACATGAAAACGTTATGGGGTCATATTCGTCTGGATACGTAGGCAAGTCTTCCTCGAAAAAATCATCCATCTTTTGTCTGAGAATATCAACAAAAAGAGCCCATTCGAAAGTTCCAAAAGATATTTTAGTAGACCTAAAGTGTTGAGCTAAAATGATTGCTGGAGTAAACGATCTCGCTGGACTTATACCGCATCGAATGTCGTATCCTGATAACATATATGAGGTTTGAAGTAGGTAATGCATCTCACGTTTTGCAGCATCTTCATAGGATTGTGCAATTTTGTCAAGCTCTTCAGAAGGTTGTCGCCTAAGCGTTTCGAAAAATTGATCGAGTTCAGCATCAATATCATCCATATCACGATCGGACATTTCACTCTCGACTAATACTTCGATACCGCTGTCTTGACTACACATGCTTACTAAAGTACAAACTGACAATGCTGCTCCTATTTATAGCCCCCACTACACAACATCCGGTTTCGACTGACGTTTTACATCTGACAATTTCTTCATGAAATAATCCACCTAACTTATTTACACCTTCTGATTCATGTTGATAACTTGTTAAAATTAAATATTTGACATAAAACTACATGAATTTCTTCACAAATGTAAAACAGTTTTTATCGTGAAGAAATTTATAGATGTAAAGCGTGTTTAAAAATGAATATTTTGGATAAAAATATATATTTTTTTAAATTCAGTGTCATTGGCATCAACTATTATTAGCCTCGTGTTCTATGTAGGCTTTGTTACTGTTTCCCAGCACCACTTTTTTGAACAGCACTGTTAATTAGAACCCAACAATGAATGGTCGAGTGGGGAATCCTGTCTAATGCATAGGCATTTTTTTCTAATTAAGTAAATTAGGCATTCCAAACAAAATGGATACCAGTGGATTTTGACAGGTTCTATGATATGGTAACATTATGGCAACTATGTAGGCCTAATGATTCGACAGGGACAATGGAATAGATAGATTGATCATCCATGTTTTTCAAAATAAACATAAGCTTATGCCTTGAAGTAAAATGCAGGTAATTATTTTTTTACTATATTCAAAGGCTGAAAATTGATTTGTAAATACATTTTTGCTAAACCGATTCTGATTAATGAGCACTGTCGGGGCAATATGGCCACTCGTAAACGACCCGCTTTAAGCAATCTATATAACTATATATTTATTATTGACCCTCTCACTGACAACAGGCTCACAAGGTTGCCATATCGAAACTGTCAGTTCCCACTTGTCAGCATTTTGGAAGGTCGTTGGAATGCCTAATTAAGTAAAAATTCCGTCATCGGCGGGATTCGAACATGGGAGCCTTATCCAAAAGTCCAGACTCTAACCACTCAGCCACTCAACTCCTAAAATACATTTATTCAGTACTTTATGAAAGTACCGTATATTTAAAAATGTTTCAAGATCGACCACTTTTTACTACTTTTCCGGATGTCCGGGCATGCCATGAACATATCCGTCGGAAATGTCCATATCTAGCTAATAAGTACTAAATTAAAAAAATATCAAAAGTAACTTATATTTATGTTTTCAGAATTTAAGGGAATTAAGCATGCATTTACTTAAACAAACGTCGAATAGTTTGAAAAAATTTCAACAATCCGATCAATCAAATTTGCATGTACATGCAGTGGCTACTCGATATGTCAGTGCTCAGTTGGACCAATCAAGGCAACTTTGTGAAATAATTTGTAAAGCAGCTACCTATGACTCAGAAGAAGATGAAGATAAGGGATTTATTTTAATGTAAGAAAAATAACTTAATTTTTAACTGGTGATGATGACCTTTTTTCACTAAAGGTTGCCTTTAAGTTTTTATCAGCAAAGAAAACTTTCGTACAATTTTTATTAAAAAGCAAAGTGCTTTTGGCATTAATTCATCTTCAGTGCTTATTGTACAGCAAAAGAAATCCACTCATATCTATTGTCGTTGTTTACCAATAAACTGTTGAAAAATACCAACTGGCTAAATCATCATTAGTCCTAAGGGGGCGTCCATTAATTACGTGAGGTGTTCAAGGGGTGGAGGGGATAAAACTAAATCTTTCTAAATCTCACTTGGGGGGAGGGGGGGGGGGGGTTTCGTAAATCTCACGTAATTTTTTTTCTAGTAGAAAACGGTGTAAAATTGCGTGAAAGTAAAGTTAAATTATAGTAAAAGTATTTCTAGAATAAAATATGGAAAAATCTTATTATAATTATGTTTATTTATTTTTTATTAATTTCCATTTAAGTATTTATCATTTAATTTTATTAATGTGATTTTAAATAATTGCAACACTCTCAAACACTAGTCTTTGCTAGTCTTAAATAAAAGTAATGGAACATATTGTGTTTTTGTTTTTTTTTTTTATTAATCCAACACATTTACACCCAAAACACGAATTTTGAAAAATCTCACGTGAGATTAGGGAAGGGGGGGGGGGGAGTTAAGGAAAATCTTACCAAATCTCGCCAGGGGGGGAGGGGGAGTCAAAAAATCCTCAAAAATACCTCACGTAATTAATGGACGCCCCCTAAGTTGTTCATATTTTTTTGTTAATTTATTTAAAATTTAAAGTATTTAACATTTTTATCAATTTTCTTGTCGAGGCAAAGTGGTGCTTTCAAAACGCCTCAACCTTCTATTCATACAGGGTTTTCGAGAAAAAATATATGGCAAATGGGGTAGAACTATTCAATAAAAAATGCTTGCAAAGTCAATACTCTTAATTGAGAGTCATGCAAACATTTAAGAGCCATTAAACCACTTTTCGACTCTTGGTTCCAATTTTACTATTTCTAAGTAACATTTTTTTTTTCCACATGAACCCTTTCGCCGACACAAAAAAATGCTTGCAATATCGTCATACATTCCGAAAAAACGCGTTTATGCTATATCCAGAATTTCATTGAAAAACAAATATCCGATCACGTGGCCGAAATCCCTTCACCGGAAGTGGAAAAACCGGATGACAGAAAATGCTTACAAAGGGATTTTTTTTAGTATTATTGACGTCTAGAAGCATATACTTCATTGCCGTCAAATAACGAAAAAAATATATCGATAAGCAACTTTTTTGAATTTTAGAGGTCACGTAACTGTTTCCGCCACCGACATATAGTAGACGTTGTTCACCTCACAAGCAAAAAAACACGACGTGCCACTTTTTGCAGTCAGAATAGGGACTATAATGTTAATGAATAGCCAACCTTTATTTTTATTTATTGTTTTACAGAGTTTATAGTATATTATTTAACTAAATCTGACGATTTGGACAAAATGATCTTTAAATGTTGGTAGTTAACAAGTTACAAAGTATTGACGTTACTTAATCTTAGTGCGTAGTAATTTTTAATCGCCCTGTAGTTTTATAATTATTATATTGTAATTTTTTCCTTAAATTTCCTTTACTCGTCTTTCTAAATTTCAAAAAGTTCTCTGTAAAGATAAAAGTGAGCAACAAACGTTTGCATTGGAATAATTATTTACAATTTTCAGGAAATTGGTTAGATTTACCAAATTTAATATTTAAAATTGTAGCAGCTTAAAAGTAGTACCTCCAAAACTCTCTTACATTTAATAGAAAAGGTTATAGCTACCGCCTCGCCTTGAAACAAGCAACAGCCAACCAGTGGCGGCTCGTGACTTGTGTAATAGGGAGGGCTGAGTATAAGGACACCAAAAAAATCAATACCAAAAATCATTTAAACTTATACTGAATACTAGGCTTTTTAATTCCTTTACTTTCATGATAAATAATTATTATGAAGATAAATAAACAATACCACACAACATACACAATACACACATAGCAAAACAAACCACAAAGTGATCGCCAAATGGGCTGAGGGCTGACTGAGCTGCGCCCGCCAAAAGCGCCAACTCATGTATCCAAAATGCATAATTTCTCCGCGATCTACACGTCGACGTCGGTAACCATATGGCAACCGTCCAGCGATTCGCTATGGGCTGATGGTACTACGCCGATACAATAATTATAGCACGCATTTATTATGATAGCTAATTAAATTGTTCGCATTTATTTTTGTTTGATTCTTTTATTGTTCATAAATTTAGGAGGAGTTAAATAAAATTACTGATTAAGTATATGGAAATACTAATTTGCAGATGACTTCTGATACTTTGTAGGGAGGGCGGCGTCCCAGCGCCCGAACTCACGAGTCGCCACATTTCAAAAATTACTGAAAAAAATTTAATATCCTGTTAACTATCACATTTTACAAAAGTTATATTTATGAAGACTAGAGATAAGGAGGCGAATCGGCATACTCAAAATACGGTCCCAAAAAACGCACGCTAATTGAGCTTTTATAATTAACCGCATGGGCAGTGTTCAAAATACATGGCTTCTTATGGGAGTTATACATAATTTTGTCAAAATAATAAAAATAAACTTGTTTACAGCTAAATAAAGCACAGAACATACTGTTGTATTTATTTCTAAATAAGTCTTGCATATTTTAATTATTGATAAATTATTTAATTTTCTATACAAGGTGTTTCATTGGTAAAGGGACTCCCTTTAACCATGGATGGAGACCACCGCGGTGCTTCCAAATAACCCATACCTAATGGGTCTTTCGACCTTTATAGCCGAGATACAGGGTGTTTTATCAATTTGGCCTATTTCTTTCCAGACTCATACCTTATTAACCACCCTGTATATGTTTTTGACATTTGGCGTACTTATTCACCGTAACTTACCAAATCTAAAAAGGTATAAACAAGAAACGAAATCCAGGTCCGTCTTTACAAAAAATTAATAAATTCGTCCATCCTTAAAACAACATCCTGTATGTCTGAATTTGAAATTTTTGTTTTCATATTTGAAAAGAGCACAAAAAACTGAATCCAATAATGTACATTTTATTTTTGCGCAGACGATTTTACTACTGAAATTATAAGTCCAAATTTTTATTTTTGAGCATTTTGGAGGTACAAACTGGAAACGGACGGAGTTTTATTAATTTTATTACGGTATATTTAAAATTATTTAAAGAAGTATATTTCTAAAAGCTACAGATATGTCAATACTTCTACACCATTTCAAAAAATAATTTCAGGTCCGGTTTTAGGGCCAAAAATCAGAATTATTTTTTTTTTCGACCGCACCCTTTATAAATTTTTCCATGTTATACTCTGTTTTTAAACTAAGAGGAGCGATTTGAATTTAAGTTGGCAATTCTGTAGACTTATGATTGGTCAGATTGCAGTCAGTTTCACATATTACTTTTTAGCATGAACATCAGCTAATAATTGATATTGTAGACAGTTTTGACATTTTATAATTTGATCTCATCATTACTTAGTTTTCTCACTTTATTTCCTAAATAATAGTTCTTCAGTAAGCAATTGTATTGAAAATCTACAATTATGGCTCCTTCTACACTGAGTACTATTAAGGGTAGCAATTCCTGAAAAGCTCTACAAGAAAGGGACGACACATTATTTTACATGCTGATTCTGAAGATGGTTTTGTAGAAAATGTATTATTGGTTTATAAAGGTAAAAAGATGGGAAATTACCATGAAGAGATGAATTCCGAAGAATTTTAGAAAAAACTAACAACTTTATTACTGATTTTTTAAAACTAAAAACTGATGAATTTCTAACCAAAATGATTAAAATGTTCCTAAATATTCAAGTAAATTTTATTTATTAGAAAAGAAACCATTTACAAAATTGTTATAACATTTAAAACACCATTTACTACTTTAGGGATAATCTTAATTTAGCACAATGAGTTAACATTACTTTCACAAAAAATATTTTAAAAATACTTAAAATTAATACATAGGTATGTATAAATAGTTCATTTTAAAAAATATATGTTGACATGTAGTGTAATGAAAATGTTGGTTCCAGTTTTCAAAACAAATTCCGACTCATAGGCCTGTAAACTTTTGAATGCCTTTAGTTGCCCTTTAGCGTATTAACCATGGGTTAACACTAAATAAGCCATAATATCCACATTACTCATAGCAGAGATACCAGTTAATGTGTAGTTCACTTGTCATTCACTGATTAACTTTTACTTTTTATACCTATAACAAAAATATCCTTAAAAATGTAAACAGACCAGATTTTTATATTAGCTTCGTTCGCGGTAACAATCCTGAACTGATTCAGAATTACTAATTCATACTGTGAGCGCATGCTCGAATCATTATCAATTCTGAATTTTTACTGCGCGCCCAATCCCTATTATATCTCGGTATTTCAGGTAGACAAGCGGTCCAAACTCAATAATTATTTTACCGCGAACGCAGAATAGAACCAATAGTTCAGTTCTTTTTGTTCCGCGAACGCTTTTTAACTACTGCGCCTGCGAAATCGTTACTGTTAGTAATAATTCGGTTCAGGATTGTTACCGCGAACAAAGCTATTTTATACTAACCTAGCTACATCTGGATATTCTATTAACAATTTTCTTAAGAGGGTTCTATACCCGTCCGCCATATTGGAAATGTTAATGTTCAAATTGCGGGCTTAATACTCACCAAAAAAAATATCTAACAATTTCTTTAAAGGAGGGGGTTATGGCGAAGACGTAAGGGACGAGGATTTTGAGGTTATGTATGAAATTGACGGAGCTGATGGGTATAGAACCCTCTTAAATATTTAATATCCATTTTAAAAAGATCATAGTTATTCTCAAAAAAGTCGATTTCAAAAGCAAGAAAAAAGTATTTCTGATATCAATCAACAACCATATTGAATTTTATTTGACAGTGACAGTTCG